ATTTCAGGATCTTTTCTCAGAGATCTTATCCAGCAAAGATCCCGTATCGCTAAGTCTACCCAATGTGTGGCTATGGGATATCATTGACGAATTCGTCTATCAGGTATCTTCCAATATCAGTTTGAAGAATTCATTTTCAGCACAATCACGCCTACCTATACAGTCACAGAATGTGTCTTCATGGTCTCAAAAGAGTTAATTTGCTTGTATATTTCTTCACAGATTGGAAAGTAATATTTTCAGTTCCAAGCTTTCTGTCTTTACAAAGCGAATCCTGGAAAGCGAAGCGTGGACGAGGTTGATGAGCTCATCAGTATCGAGGAAGCCCAAAATGTATTTATTTTCCTGTTTGTTCTCACTGCCTTTTCTCTGAGGAATTGATTTTTCTGTTCTAGGCCTGGAATATTTATCCTGTGCTTAATATTTTGTATTCTCTACTATCAAAATCGCAAATTAACGAGCAGCTGGCAGCCATCAGAGCTCGAAGTATGTTTTGAGTTGCTTCGACGTGTCCAATCTATTTTAAAATTGTTTTGCAATTAAGAGAATCCGGACGACGTCGCAGATGAGTTCGGACAGTCTGCGCTGTATTTCAAACTTGGGTATTTCTCTCTGATTGGATTGTTGAGAACTCATGTACTTCTTGGAGACTACCATCAAGCTTTGAAAACAGTCGAGAACGTAGAGTTCGATGCCAAGGTACGGTCATTCTGAAATTTTATGTTAATGGTGTTCTGGAACTTTACCATATATTTTTGGCCATGAGCAACAACATCGCAATGACTGCTCATTTTTTGAATGTTAAAAAGAACTAACTTTCTTTCTTAATGGCGTAAGAGGAACTTTGAGAGGTGAAAGAGGAAAAAGAGGTGGTCCGAGTGATTGCACGGGAATTCGTCGATTTGCTTTCCGATTTACTTGTTTAGTATTGTTTAACGTGGTACAGATTGAAGAGTTTCATTGAGAAGAGCTAGACTTTCTCAAGCCTTTGTCATTATTCCATCAATGTGCTTTGACCTGCTGAAATATGTAGGTTGCGCCCGCTATGCTGCTGCAGTGCTATGTTTTTGAAATATTTTGTAGTTTAAAAGGAAAGCTGCAGTGAAGTTCAATGAAAGTTCGCGCTTTCAGGGCCTTTACAACACCGTTCCGTCATGTCTCGTGACATTGCATTATTTTGTCGGTTTCTCACATATGATGATGCGAAACTATGGTGAAGCAACGAAGATGTTTGTAAACTGTTTGATGTTTATCCAAAGGACGAAAGCAATCCAAACTCAGCAACAGAAGCAGAAGAACTTCCAGTATGATGTGGTGAGCTTGAATATAACTTTCCTTAGTTGTTTTCCATCGCCGTGCCAGTAATGAATAAAAATCATGTTTCAATGAAGGGTACTCGATTTGATCGTGGGTTAGAGAAATGATTCAGAATTTGCTAGTTAGTAGGAGTTTTTAGGGAGATTGGTGTCCATCACCTATTTATTTGAAAATATTTAGATTGGCAAAACCTATGACCAACTTTTCCATTTACTTGCGATCTGCCTGGCTATACAGCCTCAACGCATCGATGAGTCGATTGCATCCCAACTCGCTGAGCGATGTGGTGACCGCATGTCACGTATGGGCAATGGTGACTTGGACGAGTTTCGTCTAGCGTTCCAGATGGGGTGAGCTTCTACTTACGTTATTCAATAGTTTTTGAAATTTAGCTCTCTTGAGTTGGACGACGTAAATACTAGGTGTGGTGTCTCATTCTCTTTGCTTGCAACAATGAATTCTATTGCAGATGTCCGAAGTTCCTTTCGCCAACTACCGTCGTTTATGAAGGCTCAAATCTATCTAAGGTTAGTGTTAAAAATATGTTGCCCGTTCACCACCTTATTTTATTTTTAGGAGCCACTTTTGCGTCAATCGCAAGCTTTCCTTGAAGGCGTTGAAGCTCAGATGGCGCTGCCGGTTCTACGTGGATACCTAAAATTATACACATCCCTGCCAACGAAAAAACTAGCATCGTTCATGGATGTTGACGATAAGAATTATGACTCTTTCTTGGGAAAGCTGTTAACATACAAGGTTAGCTACTGTAGAAAACATCTGAAATCTATTCCCTCATAAAACAGTTCTAGATGGTGGTCAATGAACTAGGCAAGGATTCGCTAGCATCTTCAAATGACGACGACGAACCGAATACGGATATTGATTTTTACGTTGATAAGGTATGTTCTTCTCCTGGAAATGAAGTGCTATTTCTAATATCCTCATTCTGAGATCGTGTGTTTCTATTCTTTTTTCGCTTTATATTTTCTATTAAGCGAAAAAACTCGGGTGCTGGTCGGCTTCATCAAGAAATCTGGGATTTCGTGCACTTTTTACTTATTTCAGTTTTCCAAATCAGAAATAATTGCACGACCTTCGTTCTGTCATATCAGATAGTGTTCTTTACGATATCGCGGGAAAAGTGGGTAATCACCCTCTAATTTATTTCCATATAAAGGGTAGATATGTATTGTGCACTGGAGCTCAATTTTACTACTACATTTTAATTGTAACCTTGAACAACGTTTTTTGTTTTAGGATATGATTTGCATTGCCGATACGAAAGTAGCACGTCGGGTTGGAGAGCATTTCATCCGACACATGCAGAAACTTTATGAGGTAAATCAGTTTTATTGATCAGTTTTTCAGAGTAGTCTCAGCACTATTTTGTCTGCTTTTGTGTAGATATATTTATTTATCTTTTGTTTTATATATATTTATTTTTTGTTTTATATATTTGTATTTTATTCTATATTTTTGACAGTCATCTGCTTTTATTTTTTTGGCTTCTGGTTTTCAAAAACTCAAATCTGCTTCATTTTCAGGTTCAAAAGTTGTTGAAGAAATTAGAGACGAAACCCTAATATTCTACAAGTAATCCGGTTGCCAGATTTCCTCCGTTTTTTGTTATCGTGGAGCTCTTTTCTATGCTTACAAATTTACCAAAAAAGCCGCTTTAGATTGTTATTGTTTGGCTTTCATTTTCTGTCTGTGATTAAAATTTGTTGACGGTGGTCTCTTTCCATGTCATTTTCCGGAAAGCAATTACTTTGGAGATGTGCGTGCGTAAAACAATTAGAGGGCTGGACATGGTTGTCTGGTTATTCCTAAATTATATACAGTTCTTACGGTTTTGTGGCCGCGGAAGAATGGGGGGAGATTACGCTGAATTAAGTGCATTCCAAGTTCCCTGTCGCCCCAGTTCAATCTTGTCTATCAAAGTTGAGACGATTGAGATTTCGGATCGTATGAAATGCATTGGAGCTAACGGGTTAATTGAAGGCGTTTGTAATGGAGACATGCACTGTTTACATGCGTATATTGAAAAAGGTTGAGCCTGGTTGGAGGGGGACGAGGTGGCCTATGGGATGGAGTGAACTGTTTGCAAACTATTCATTGAAGATCCCTTTTCCCGACTTCTCTGCGCGGTATGGAATGGTCGGAAATTGGAGGAATACGTTATTCCAAGTATCCAAACTCGCTCAGACGAGGCGAAAAGGGTGAAGTTCGCGCACGACGATTGTGAGGTCGAGTAGGGTGTGTAGAACCTACTGTAGGGAGCGAACGGCGCTTGAATTGTTTTCAAGCACGTAAAGTGACTAAGAGCCTGATTGGCTTTGCTCATATTTAGATTCACGGTATCGAATGGCTGCGTACTTCAGGAGTCAAGCCTGGGCAGGTAACTGGGGGGGGTACTGCTTGATGATCGCTATGCTCTCTCATTCCCTTGATGCCTGCTGTCTCGTTGCACTGTTTCTTAATATGCGGTTAGGTCAGAATGACCAACAATAGGCACTTTATTCAGAGGGTTTCCGGCCACTCCTCATTACGAACAAATCTGGGAAAGAATTTACTACAGTCTCATCTTCTAAGCTCGCAAATGGCATAGAAGCGGTGGACGTGGCTTTGCGGAGCAATTACGACTACTACTGCAATTACCTTATATGACATACAACATAACGATGTCATTGGAAAGAATGACGCTTTTAATTAACTCAAGGGAAGGGGCAACTCAATGCAGGCTAGGATGGAGGATTTTGCGATATACTAAAGGTAAGGAGCATGGAACCTCAGCTGAATAGGATAAGGTGATCACTTCTTGAAAATCTGGACCATCTTAATGCAGGAGAGAAACCTTGCTTCATCTACTCATTCAAGAATCAATATTCAGTGACGCCAAATCTTCATTCTGGACTAAACAAACTGCATTCTTCGCACCCATTCGGTACTAAAATGCTGCCACAATATTATTGAAACAAAATCGAAGGAAAAGAAAAGACCAGGAAGGGGCCAAATGATGTAAGCTCCCAACAACGCAATTTCTAAAATTATAAGGCTGCCGCAAAGTATGGGATTGGTCTAAGACGGGCATTAAAATTAAAATGCCCTCCTTAGGGTAAACCACCACTGAAGCTGATTAGAGTACTGGTAACAACTCCTCACATAGGAACGACCACTAAATTTATTTAATTTGCTAAATCCTCACTTCCATCTGGCGGTCGTCGACATCATCGAATCTCTTAAAGCAACAGGTCCAGGCGGTGGTGTCAAACCATTTTGGTTTTCAAGTGCGTGAAAATTATGCCCTCAGCCTGGAGTGGAAGTTTAACGGGAGACGAGTGTCACAAAATTTCAAAGAGATTACCTCTGGAAGAGCATAGGAAGCAGCTCGAATCTGCGAGAAGGCGGATCACCGATCCGTTGGTGGTGGCGCCCAGCAGCTGGTTGCAGAAGCGCTGTGCTTCCTTGAACCTAGCAGGTTCGTAGTTATGCGCTGACCTCGCCGCGCTGTATGATGGTCGATTCTATAAGAACGCGCTTCAATTACGATTGCTGGCAAATAGTTATGTATTTGCAAGCATGCATGGCTATTTGCCAGCAGTTGCAATTGGAGCGCATGTACTACGGGCAGGTTCGGACAACTCGTCCAACACACGTCTCCCTAAACGGCAGGGGGAGTCCCTGTCTAAGCCCCTGCCCGACGTTTTTTTCTACTTTTTCTTTCTCCATTGACCAACTTCTCACCTGCAACGTCATTATAGGTGGTCCTTACCCGCGAATTCGTTCCTGGATTGTTGCTTTAAGGGGCGAATCGCTACTATCAACAACCAATGGGGGAAAGAAGCAAAACAGCAATTCGTAGTAAGCGACACCATTCAGTGACTGATATATCTTTTTTAATGGAGAGACGTAGTTGCGGAAAATGAGTTGGCGCTGATTGTCAATATCAGCACAACCCTTCTCCCTGCTACCAGCCGGTCGCAAGTTTAACCCTTTTGGCCCCTTGATGGTGGCAATTGCACCACTCGACATTCTAAACGTCACTTTGCCCAGTACCGCTGAAAGAGCATGGTTTTCTATCTGCTAGGAACACGGTCTTTTCAGTTACCCTCCCGTTCCTAAGATATCGAGCTAAACTGCAACATTTCATTGTGATCGTTGCTGTTATAGTTATTACAAGTATTTGTGCACAAGCTGTGCGCAACACAATGAACTCGGCGAGCGGCGTCCCAGCAAATCCTGCTAAAGTAAGTGTCACGTGTTTCCGGGATACTTGAGTAGCGGCGAAAGATGCGGTGTTATGTGACAAGTGGCAGCGCTCTCCACGCGCGAGCGTCCGGGGATCAAATCCTGGGTCGTGAGTCGCCCGGGCCAACCAAGCCTTCCATCCCTCCGGGTCGGTTAATTGGTACCAGACTTGTCTGGGAGGATAAAAACACTGACTTGTACATCGGCTGGCCCCGCAAGTCATTGTATAGGCCACATCGCATTCAAATGCCACTGCGAATGTACAAATGGAAGTAGAATGCGTGCCGCATCCCAAAAAGGGATTGATCAACGGCAAATGCTTTATTTTTTTATTTACTTATAGATCCATTCTTTATCAAAATTATGGGTTATAATGTTGTGCAAGATTATAAACTTTTCGGCATAACTATGAAATTTGGAATTGTTTCGACATAAGCTCAAAAACTAAGAAGGTGGGCCAATTTTCAAAGCTTCCTAGTTTCTTTGTTTGTGATCGAATAGCTTCCAAATTTCGCCATAATGATACCTATATGCTCACAAGTAATAAACAATAGCTAGAAGAAAAATTTCTCCACGGAAAAATTCAGGTCCGAAAGGGTTAAAGGCAATCTTTCTGCCCACTTTTGCTCTCCAGTGGGACAGCCGAGAGGGGTAGGGGTAGGTGAAACGACAAGTCCTTTCATTCTGATTGCTTCATAATTTTTTTTCCAGATTTTTGCCTAAACGTATCAAAAAAAAACGCGACTAAAAGAAGCCCCTCTACCAGAACTACGACCCTTCCACTTTCAAATATATGAACCCTCTTTCCAATGTTTTGACCTTCATCAACCCCAAACCCGACCCCTCCACTCTTTGAGAACTACGCAACGTTAACCCTGCTCCCACTCTGCCTCTCAACAGTCGCACGCACTGCCTTGAATTTGGTCCTACTTGACACACTCCCATCTCCAAGAATTTTTTACAAACAGCTAAAACCACGAAAATACAGGTTCCTTAACATTCTCCAGCTTTGGGATGATTCTCCGCCTTTTCAAATATTTTTATAACGACGTCTATGATGGACTGCAAGGCCCATCCCATCACTTGAAATTCCTTTGCGAAGAAGGCAGATAGATCTCCTGCAGTTTACCTTGGTCCAAGGGACGGTTGACCCTGACCAAGACATATTGTTTGTAGGTTCTCGTGTGTTATGCTTTCGTATCGAAAAGCTCAGAATAGAAGTTGTCTGAGAACTTCAATACTAGTAGTGAAAAAAGTAATTAGAAAAAATTGCTTGTGCTCATAAACAGTGAACAAAACAATTGTGACGGACGTAGGATCTTAATGAATTGCGATGCAGTGGAAGACCAGCTCAGAACGGATGTCCGTTCGACTCAGCTGATTCCAACTGCGCTTCTGCCGAAGCATAGTTGCAAAGGGTTGATCTGAGCACGTACTGAGGGACATACCTAGCTCCGTGACTCAATGTGCATACCCTCGCCTTCAAATGACCAGAAATTGTGCAATTGCAGAAATTGACGTGGCATTGGCACACGTGGCTAAATTCTCGATGAAAAGGTGACATCACGTGTGCTCAAAGATGTTCTTGAATCGATGCCACGTTAATGCCGGTACAAGGCTTCTGTCAACCAGGGGTGAGAGTGTAGAAGGAAAAGCAGACGTTCTTTGTGGTAGTGGGACTAAGCCTTTTAAAGGAGGTAAAGAAAGCGGAGATTCTGTAATAGTGCGCTTGTGTGAGAGCTCCCAGACAGCACAACAAAACGCTGAATTGCCTAGCCTCACGGTTGACAGATGTCCGGGACCGTAATTC